TGATCATGTGTGACCAATGTAAGAGATGGTTGTGGGGTCACAAAAACACCTTAGACACATCTAGGATGGTAAATGGAACAATGTTTGTATTCAAGACACGGGCCAATTGTGATTCTAAGTCCAAGTTTACTCAAAACTTCCATTTTCATGTTACTACTTTGACTAGAGTTGAACTATAGCATAGAGTCTTTGCATGGCAGTCCACCCTTAATAAAAGTTGTAGTTCTTGACATGGGTAACAAACTTTGTTTTAGGGCCATGAGCTAATTCAGTGCCTAACATAGTCAAAAATAGATCCAAATTAACAATGTAATGTTGTTTCTAGACAGAAATTTTGCTATGTCCAAAATGCTGATTTCAGTTTCAAGTGCACCACTTTGGAGCTTTGTAACTTGCTAACCATTGAGAATTTGATGATGGCTCCTAAAGCAAAATTGTAGATCATGGGTAGCTCTACAACTTTCACTAATATAGTTTTCGCTAAATAGTCACGGATTAGGAGTAATATCACCTTGAACTTGCTCTGTCAGTCGCTCACTGCAGCTCTGAACCGGCCGAGTTCAAACCGCTCGGTGGCCGACCACGCGCAGGGGCAAGCCACCGCATGGCGCCCGTATGCCAGCCCCATGTTGCCGTGCTAAAGTGGAGAGAAGAGGGAGGCCACGCTGCTGCTCTCTCCCATTCTCACTCTCTCACCCTATCTCTCTTGCTCTCGCGCCTGCAGCTACAAACCCAAGCGCTGTCGTCGCCATTGCCGTGTTCTGTCGTGCTCGCACGCCAACCACACCACACCACCATCCAATCCATCTCACCCATAGCTCCACCATCATCTCCTCTACCTCCCCAATCGTCCACTACCACTGTTCGTGCAAAGGTAAAGCCACATTGCGCGTCGCCGTCGCCGCCATGGCCATGGATCACCGCTGAGCTCCGAGGTTGCCTGTGGCCAGCCATCATCATTGCTCCTCTGACCTTCCTCTTCCTCGGTTACTTATCACAGTAGGGTCTAGATGCTGATGCTGTCACCCATTTAACTACTACCGCCACCGCCGTGCGGGAATGTGCAACCGCGCTAAGTGCGCCCACCATGGCCGTGAGCTCAAGCTCCCCATGGCTGACCCTAGCTAGACCCCATCGTCCCCCTCTAGTGTGTGTTTCCGCAATACCATGAACCCTAGCACCATCCTCGAAGAAGAAGACCTATCACCGATTGCCATCTTGTCAGAACGGTGACCTCACCGTCATCGCGCTCACGCCGCCGTGTCGCCATGCATGTGGCCGAAGCTCATCGCCGCTTCACCGTGGCTCCATCTGCACCATAGAGCTCTGCTAGGGTTTGTAGGAGCTGTAGCCATGCTCACCAAGTCATGCCATCGTCGGAGATGGTGAGACCGCCACCGCACGCCACCGTCGAGCTGCCATGCTCACCGACGAGGTTGCTCTGGTGATGCGTCGAGCCAACTGAGGGTACCCTTTCGATGCGGCTTGATGAGGCGAGTTTAGTGGTGAAGACCTCACCGCCGGTGACTTCGCTACTGGTGAGATATGGACGGTCAAACACCGCGCCTTGCTCCTATGTCGTTGACGTGTGGGTCCGGTTGACCCACGGGTCCCAGCTGTCAGTCAGTGTTTGATGTTTTTCTTGATTTATTTTCATAGATTTGAATGCAAATTTCAAAAATTTATATCTTGAGCTAGGAGTGCCCAAATGAGGTGATCCAAATTTTGTTGGATTCATCATGAAGTGTACTATTTGATAAAAATATGAAACCTTCCGTTTGTGGTATTTTTCTAGGGAAATTAAATTGAGCTAGATATGTGCTTTTAAATTAGTTTCTATCTTGTAAAATGCATAACTTGAGCTAGGGAAGTGATAAAATTATGATTCCAATTTTGTTGGTCTTGTGTTGGCATGCTATAGCTAGGACAAATAATAAACCTACAGTAAACATACTTGGAATATGGTCTTTCTATTTCACCTTAATTAAATGCTAGTTTCTGGTGAAATTAATTGGGGTAAAAATACATAACTTATGATCATGCAAATTTCTACACAATGTTCTTATGCTAGGATGAAAGTAAGGAAAATATGAATTCTGTTGTTTGACACTTTTCACTAGGCTAAACTATTTTTGCTAAAATAAGCTTATGCAACTTATCATTTTTGTAGAGGTTGCTATACTTATCCAATTAGCATGAAATTTGTACAGTAGACTATTGGGTTCATGTATAGGCTACTGTAATTTTCTTAGGATTTATTGTGCAATAGAAATAATGAGCCTCTAAATCACTCTATTATATAAGGAAATTAATAAATGCACATAAGTAAATTATTGGGGTTTTACCATGATGTTTTCTAGGGTGCTTTTGATGCACATGGTCTTTTGGTATTGGTAGTTATGCTCAAAGTTAATTGGTTATAGGTAGCTAGTTAATTATTGTTGTATAATTCAACTAGATGGCTGCATGTGTAGTTTCTGTTGTGGTGACAATTTTTCTGTGAAACTTATTAATAACAAAGTTGTAGATAACTTACCCATCTGTCTTGTCCTCAAATTTCATAGTTATAGGCTAAATGGTTTAAGATTTATAGCTTCTAGCAGTTTGCTTTCAGATTTGCTTAGTCTCTGGACAGATCTAGAACATGTAATTGTTTGACCTAGTTAACTATGGAATCCTCTTAAGATGATTATAAGAAAGTTGTTGACAATTTTATAAGCTTTCTAGAAAGTCCAAGATTATATTATGTGGATGTGTAAAACTTCAGTTATGATCAAAACAAGTGGTGCTATTTTGCAATCTAGAAATTGCTTAAATGGAAATTTGTTTAATTACTAGAGAGGAGATATGCACATACTCAGTAAAAGAAATTTTATCTTGTTATCACTTTAATACATTTCTGTTAAGGACACTTATGAGTATGCATTTTATCATATCATATCATCCATGTCATTATCTATGCATCCATGATATCTTATTTCATGCTCATACATATAGGATTGCCCGATGGAGTAACCCTACTGGAATTCGAAGAAGAGGCAGAGGAGAATCAGGAGACACCACAGCCAGCAGCTCCCGAAGGCGAGGAGCCAGCTACTGAGGATCCTTCAGAGTGCCCTGACCACCGACCCACTTCTTTCCTAAAAGGCAAGCCCTAGAGCATTTTAAGCATCGTATGTTTTATAAAACATCACTTGAGTCCTTTATGTTTGATGCATTAGGTTGTAAGAATTGATTTGGAAACACTTGATGCATAGAACTACCTTGTCTAGAAATATACCTTGAATCCTATGTAGGTCCATGATCAAATAACTGCTTAGCAATGCTTAGGTCAGTAGAAGTCGGGTGATTTCCTATAGGTGGACACTGAATCACGGTTGGCTATATTTGCTATCGTGTAAAAGAACCATGGGAGGTTGTAAATCAAGGCCGGACAGAGTCTATGTTGTAGGTTGACTCATGTGATTCCGTCTACGCCGATTAAGGACCGCATCATTGTTGATCCTCGGTAATTTTGAACGCATGTCTCTCACTTAGTTGGCCGGATAACTCGTTTCGATCGTGAAGCCAAGTAGATCAACTCAGGCTAGTCCTCATTCTATTAGAGTGCGCACCGTAGAGGTAGTAAGGATGTGCGGGGAGCCAGTGTGAGGCCAAGAGCAGGTTAGAGTCCTGATCAACCTGGCATCCGGTAGTGTCCTTGATTGTGCGGCACTGATTGAACCCATGAATTGGACCTAAGTTGTACCAAAGGTGACCTAAGGTGATCGCTGATCTGGTCTACCTAGGTTTGTGTTAGGAATACTGCTAGCTGGTTGCAATCGATTCGAATCACCGTCTCTTCCAGATAGTGAGAAACTTGACTGAGCTTCCTTCTATCGTAGTAATAATGGCAAGTGGAATGGTTCTGAGAATGATATAATAAATTGCTATGGTTACTATTGTTCTGTCACTACTGATATACCACATGTTTGGCATAGGTTAGTTGCTAATCTAGAGATGAATAGCTATAATTAACTTGATGACCAAATTATAAAATGTATAGCTGAATTAGTAGCTTTTTATGAAAAATGGTGTCAAGCTAGCTCCACTTATAAAGCCTTGCATGATCCTTAGAGTCACTTTATTTTTGGTTTATGACAGGTAAGTCTAGCTGAGTACCTTCTTGTACTTAAGGTTTTTTCCCACTTGTTGCAGATAACAAAGTCTTTCATGGCTATTGTAAGAATTGCTTCTATCCTGCTGTGGACGAGGAGTAGGCCCCGGGCAAGGCACTTCTACTTATATATCTTATCTGTGATGCTTTTGTGGGTGGTGATCACAAACTGGCTTGTATTAAACAATGGTGTGAGATGGTTTTAAATATACTTTGATTTTGCTACTACCTTATTTGGAACTTGAGTTGTAACAACTTTAATCGTACTCTAATGTATGGCAATGTATTTGTGAACTCTATGTAACATGTGGCATGTATGTTTCATCATGTACGATCTTGGTTATATGTTGGCGATGAATCGAGACCCTTCATAGTACTCGACAGACTACCAGGTTTATATGGGCTCAAGTATGATAGTACGACTGCTTGTGGGATGCCATTGTACTTGTGCTCTTATAAATTGGACGGTTCTATTACAACCCCCAAACATTCCCCCATGATCATTTTGAGTTTGATTATGTAGCACCTTATGAGATCAGCTAGTAGGCCCGAGATCGTCTGCTTATTCACAATGACATGTTAGTAGATGAAAATCGGAAACTCCGACATCAGCTCCAATAGCATAACACAGCTTGGGGCCGTTAGGCCCACAACGACATTCTGTGAGTAGCTCTGGTGTTTTCTAATACCATGCAAAACTTGGCCAAGGCCATGAGGGAAGCGGTGGCAATGCCGTAGCCATCCACATAAGAGGGCCGATAGGCATTCCAAAGGTTTCAAGAGCTGATAGCGGTTGTAGCCGACCGTATACCAGCACCTAGCGATGCGTCTACTACATGCAGCCATGCACCCCAAAACTCAGGGGCTAGACCACTGCACCAATCTAATAGATCCACATGCCACAATCCTAGATGCCACCAAGGTCCCGCCCCACAATCGGGCGATAATGGTGGCGGATAGGGAAGTGGTAGGCAAGGAGGTGGCGGCAGAGGGCACTCTGCTAATGGAGGGAGTCACCAAGATGGTGGGGCTAACGATGATTCTGGGAGTAGCTATTGCTCTGATGGTGAGGGTCATACCCATCACCATGGGAGATATCCTAGGGACCAACCCAAGCCGGCGCCACGCGCCACCGAGGGCGATCCCTGTGACTTGGTAGGACCCCTTGCATTCGGATACCGAATCTGGTTGGCTCCAACACCCCACAGGTTTCGTGCTCTAAAAATTGAGAAATATGACTGCGAGACAGACCCGAAGATTTGGCTGGTAAACTACCAACTCACCATGAAAGTGACATCCACACCGGACATGTTTTTCATGATTCAATGTCTTCTGATCTACCTCGCTAACTCTGCCAGAAACTGGCTAAACATCCTTCGGGAAGGCATGATCAAGCGATGTGCTAACCTCGAAAAGGCATTCTATAATCACTTTGAGGGGGCTTACACTAAGCCAGGCACCTTATGGAACCTCCTAGGATGCAAATGCCTGACCGACGCGAATCTCCGTGATTACATAAAGCGCTTTACATAGCGTAAGAATAAACTCAAGGATGTCCCTAACGCTAGCATCGTCACCGCCTTTACCACCAGCATCGACAGCGAACCCTTATTCGAAACATTGGGCGAAGGAAGAACATTAGTCTCCGCAATGTGTTCGCCTTAGCCCATGAGCATGCCGATGGCAAAGATTGCTTTAACACTAGTAACAGCAAATATAAATCATGACTCACCGACGACGTGGACCAATCCCCACTAACAAAGAAGGATTGCAAGCGTAGAGGCGAGCTCATGGCCAACGCCAAGAAACAAGAACGCAATAAATCCAAACAAAGCCATGGAGGCTATGCAAAATTTGATGAGATCATGAACCAGACATGTCAAAACCATAGCTTCCCGGTGAATCACTTGGCCAAGGACTACCATCTTTACAAACATGAGATCATTGAAGCTGGCAAGGACAAGACAAAGGGTGGACGCCCGAAGATGGGGAAGGACGACACCGATGAGGATGACAAAGGCGGCTAACCCAACATTGAGGGTGTCACGATCATCTTTAGTGTCCCACAGGTCTACGAGGACCACCGTTGTGAAAAGGTAACCCGATGTCTCATCTTTGCCACTACACCTGCAGTTCTTGTTTATTTAAGATGGTTAGAGCGCGTGATCACCTTCAATAGGAATGACCACCCCAATCATGTCATCGAGGCAAGACGATTCCCTTTGGTGGTCAACGTAGTCATGGGAGGCATAAAAATGACCAAAGTCGTTATGGACGGAGGAAGCGGCATAAACATCCTTTACAAGGATGCGTTTAAGAAGCTACACATCGAGGCAAGCAAACTACATCCCCCGCATTCCCAATTCCATGGAATCGTCCCTAGACAACGGGTTATACCCCTCGGCATGATCACTCTATTTGTCACATTCGGTGACCAGGTACACTACCACAAGGAGACACTCTCCTTTGAAGTCGTAGATTTCTACCACGCCATCCTTGGGAGACCCTACTATGCCAAATTCATGGCAATCCTTAGTTACGCCTACCTCAAGCTCAAAATGACAGGCTCCTACGGCATCATCACCATCACAAGCCACTTTCAAGATGCATACGAGTGTGAGAGGCTGGCTGTAGAACAGGCCCAACACGATCTAATTCTAGATGAGACAAAACATGCTTACGAGAACAAATAGGAGGTGGGCTCAGGAACGCCTCGACGCTTGCCCTGACCCCTAGAGCATTGGCTCACACCAAAACCCCGGCCAACATTTACCTCCCGAATCTATGGTTTCTGCTTCACCGCCTACACCGGTGCCACCAGAAGCACCCGACTTGCCCGAAGAAGCAAAGCCAGAAGAGGAGAAAGATGACTCAGCCGTCAGGGAGGACCCCATGACCGGGGCCTAGAGCACCAATGGTGCATGCTGCTGTTGACGGTAGTTAACACCATTCACAAACTGTTAATATAACTTGCATAAATGACTAAAATGGATCACCAGCATAGACTTAGGGGTTTTAACTGACAAATTCCATGAGTTTTGGTAAATCTATGTTTCCAGAAAGATTTAATCAGAAACCCCCCAAGGAGGAGCTATTCGTCAAAGGAAATCGCGTAATTCTGCAGGATAAACAATGTGGGAAGACTCTAGAAGACTCTAGAAGGCTCTCCACCGAAGCAGAGGCCGAGCCACTGACATATGGGACCGACCAATCCCTAGGCCCACTAGTTAGGCTCTAGCTTCTTACATCGGTTCTCTATCGCCTCGTAGATTGCATCTACGCCGTTTATTCAAGTTGGTTTGATCCAAAGGTCTAGGATGCATCATGGGGCCTATATATACCTACCTATACTCCCCCTCTAGGGCAATTGGCATATGATCCTGAGGGCCTAAGGGCTAGAAACCCTAATCCATATTTCCACTAGAATCAGAGCTAACAATCAAGAGAAGATTAGTCCTTAATAAAATCTAGTCTTGTATTAGAGATAGAGAGATAGAGTGAGAGGGAAGAGTTTTGGAGGAGTCCTGGCCTGTCGATGCTCCCTCTATAGCTTGTACCCTGGCGGAATCAAGTTCTTCTTGAGCTTGCTTCTAAGATTTCTCTGATAATCGACTTCTAATTTAAGTAAGCATCTTGTTCATATTGTTCTTCAGATTTGTAACTCTTTTTAAGTACTTTAATCCTTGTAACTCCTATGTTAAAGTAGTATTTATAGTGTAAAAAGTAGTATTTATAGTGTAAGTGTGGTGCTTAGACTCAGTTACTCATGGATGTACCCTACTTTCTAGATCGGTGGTAGCTCGTGAGGGTGACTCTTATAGCCTCGTTGAATCCTTTGTAGTCCACCTCCTGTTAGTAGACCTAGCAGGACCTTGTTACTATAGGAAACATACTCTTCCTGTGTTTTCTTTGGTAATATCCCCAAAATTGAACTATGGAAGACAACTTACCGAAGTTAGAACTAGAAGACCTTTGTGATCTCCTCTATGCTCCTATTATCTAGCCTTGATTGTGAAGTTGGGTTAAGTTAGATTTGGTTATTCTCACACACGTTTCCTCGAGGTCGATATAAAACTGGGTACTCCCGGTGAAGTGCTACATCGGTATAATATCCGTGCGCTTGTGGATTATTCTGTGTACTAGAGAAACGGTTGTAGAGTTAACTTTGAACCTAGCTTAACCTTGTATCATTATTCTTTTATCTTTTACTTTTCTTTTCTTTTTACCATAGATCTAGAATCCACCCCTATTTACCAATACGCTGCACCTACTAGCGCACGCCTAGAGCCACTAGAATCTTCAAAGCCTATCTTAACACCTGGCTATGAGCTGCGCCTATGTTTAATTAACATGGGCCAAGATCAATCTTTTTCGGGCGAAGATTATGAGAATCCCTATTCCCACCTAAATGAGTTTGAGTATACCTGTGCATGCCTATGCATTACGAGCATGTCAGATGAAACCTTACGATGGAAGCTCTTTCCTTTCTCTTTGATGGGAAAAGCTAAACGTTGGTACAAGCTCACCATAGGGAGTAGACAAGGAGATTGGGAAGCCCTGTGTTCTAGCTTTTGCTTGCATTTCTTTCCCATCTCTAGAGTAGTCAGCCTTTGTTCAGAGGTTCTATCTTTTAAATAAGAATAAAAAGAATCTCTAGGCATGGCTTGAGAACATTTTAATGCTCTCATTAATACTAGCCCTAACCTTGCCATTCAAGACCCCATTCTTCTTCAACACTTTTATATGGGTTTTGATAGGAAAACCTCAAAGCGTCTCGATACGGCCTTAGGAGGCTTGTTCATCCATGTCTCCACAAATTCAGGGAGATGTATTCTTACTAAAATTCTAGAGAACACTCCTGAAGACATACAAAAGAAGCCACTAGAGGAAGAATTCTAGATAGTTGAACTAGAACTTTTGCCTAACCCATCACCAACCTCAGTTGTCCCAAATCCCGAACCACCAGAAAAGGAGGAAACTCCAATTTAGGACTTCATTCTTGAATTTGAGGATGAACTTTTTGATGAATACGGAGATACCTTGAATTACCATACTATGAGGAGACCCCATAAGCCTAGGAAATCATCATCCCATGATGAACCTTTAGACCCTTCTAAGGAAGCTTTCCTTAAAAAGACTATGAAAGAGCTAGTTTCTATTATAAGCAATGAGTGGCTAGAAGAATCAGAGCTTTCCTCTGATGTGATTCGATTAGACTTACCTTCCATTTTCATTCGTTGCCAAATTAACAAAGTTCCTTTATATGCTCTTTATAGTCTATTTGTGGGTGTTAATGTCATGTTTGCATCTTTTGCTCATGATTTATTGAAACACATGCCATTATCTCCAACAACAAAGTTGTTGAAAAGTCTTTCAGGACACCTCCCAAGTTTGGGAATTTTGTATGTCCTCCCTATCTAGGTACAAGGAAACATGGTTCATTTAAGCTTTTATATCTTTGATATCATAGAGTTTGGCTTATTGATAGGACAACCAATTAAAAGACTTATCCAAGAAGGACAAACGGTGAAGTTGAATATAAGAGTTGGGAAAAACTTTAAACTTTCAATACCTATCACTCATTCTCTAAATGATGAGACTGAGCCAACTCCCAAGGAAGACCCAATGGAAGAGGTTAAGGTTGCATCCCTTGATGATTTGATCGAACCCAACCTTGAAGAAGATGCCCAGTTCTTCATCAAAGAAGAAGACAAAAATCCTACAGAGTCTGAACCTCTAGATGAATTATTAGAACCACCTAAGCCCACCATTGAGCTTAAACCCCTGCCTTCTGGTCTTAGATATACTTTTCTCAATAATGATTAGGATTCTCCTATGATCATAAGTGATAAACTCTCTTAGGAAGAATCCCTCCGCCTGCTAACTATCTTAGAAAAGCATCACTCTGCTTTTGGCTACTCGCTCCAAGACCTTAAGGGAATTAGCCCTGCTCTTTGCACCCATCGCGTCCCTATAGATCCTAACTCTATACCTTCTAGGGAGCCACAACGTAGGCCTAATAATGCAATGAGAGGGTTGTTAAGAAAGAGGTGTTGAAACTCCTGCATGCTGGGATCATCTATCCTGTCCCGTACAATAAGTGGATAAGCCTAGTTCAAGTTGTGCCTAAAAAGGGAAGCATGACTGTTGTTAAAAATGAAAAGAATGAATTAATCCCCCAAGGAACCATCATTGGATGGCGGATGTGCATTGACTACTGAAAACTTAACAAGGCAACAAAGAAAGATCATTTTTCGTTGCCCTTCATTGATGAAATATTAAAGCGACTGGCAAATCACTCTTTCTTTTGTTTCCTTGATGGGTATTCAGGTTATCACCAGATACCGATCCATCCAGATGACCAAAGCAAAACTACCTTTACATGTCCATATGGAACTTATGCTTATCGTAGAATGTGGCAGAACCTCCTAAGAAATCGGGCCCACGTGCACCTATCGATGTCTTAACAGACCTCGAATAGCGTACACGAGTTCCCAACAACTCAACAGGTCTGTCGGGTGTCCTCGGGAAAC